CCTCCAGGGATGGGGACTCGACCACCTCCCCTTCCAGAGCCTGACAGCCCTTTCGGTGAAGAAGTTTTTCCTAATGTCCAACCTAAACCTGCCCTGGCACAGTTTCAAACCATTCCCCCTCCTCCTCTCTTCTCCTATCTTGTCTACTCCCGAGGCTTCTCTTCTATCAGGCATTAACGTGACACAGCTGAGCAGCTTTAGCAGCTCGTCACCAAGGAGGGGGCAGCCCTGCCCCTCTCAGACTTCCCTCTGCACCAGCTGAGGCCCCCGCCACCACAAACAGCGGTGCTCTTTGCCCCCCTGTAGCCTGATTTTGGCCCCTTTTTTCCTTTGGAGTTACGATAGCTGGGATGGCTCGAGACGGGAGGAAATGCACATTCCCCTGCGCTATCTTGCTTAATTCCTCTCCCTTCCTGGTATTTAAAGCTTTCAACCGTTTGCTAGCATGGACGCAAGTCCCGTGTAACTGGGGACTCCTGCATAGACAGGGTATCGGCCAGGCTATGTCAAAGGGTTTAGGGACATGGTTTAGTGGTGGGATGGCAGGGTTAGGGGAACGATTGGACTTGATGATCTTAAAGGTCTTTTCCAACCAAAGTGATTCTATGATTCTGTGATTTTATGAATTTACACCTCTCCAACAAACCTCCGCTGTACTGAGTGACGCAGGAGAACGACCAGGGGGCAGCACAGTCCCTGCTTTTATCTCGGAGCGTTACAGAACTTCCGCTCAAGCCCCAAACGGGATTGAAAAGCCACCAGCTGAAAGACAAGGGTTGTGGCAGCAGAGAGAAAAAAGGATGAGGAGGTTCAAGATGCTGTGTGGAGCTGAGTAACAGCCACTTCAGCACCGCGCTCTCTGCGACTCCTTCACCAGCAGTGGGGACACCTCAGGCGCCGTATTTCGGTGCTCTCCTCTATTAAGAGCGACCCCGTGTCTCTCCAAGCTGCTCCCTCGGGCTGCCCGCAGAGAGCGCTTCACCAGCGGAGCTCAGCTGGTGCTTGTGGTCTCCTTTTGCGACCCCCAGGAGCCTTGCTCTCGTGCGCTCTGCCCAGCTCAGCGGAGCCCTGACCCCCGCCAGCATCTCAGGGTGCCACTGTGACACCCACGGACTTATTTTTTAATTAAGGGTTTGACTTAGGAACACAAGGAATAGCATATGCACAAAACCTCAGGTGGTGAAGAACCCCGGGACGGGTGAACTCCTGCGTGCCCATCAGTCGCCTGCAAACCTCAACCAGTTTCTTGAACCCGCTGGTTGTGTGCTTCTATTTTTCAAAATATCAGATAAGCAAGATTAACTCTGTCTACCGCACCAGCACCATAAGGAGCAGAACTGCATGGTTTCTGCTAAATACGTTAAAGCACAAAGTGGTACAAACTCTATCACAGCAACAAAACACACTCATCCGTGATTGTTGTCTCTGCTCATGTCTGGAATTTTTTCCCTTCTCCATATCCATACAACTCCCATTTTCCTCCCCCCTGGGTATCCAATCTCTGGAAAAAACCCTACACATACTGTGATGAGTATCTTCTCCATCCCATTCATAACTAATTATCCTTCACGACAACCACGGACGGACCCTCCTGCATGCTCTCTTAGATTCTACCCTGAAGAAACTCCGTCCTTCTGTGTTCTAAGAGTGCAGCCATCACGCAGTAAAAATGAAACAGCCGTTGTCCTGAACGCTGTACAAACACGCAACACCAGGGCTGGATGAAGACCTACGAGCCTTTACTCCCCACCAGCCCAGCACCAGACACTTCAGAAAGAAAGATTCCCTGGAGGACGATGAATGACGCGCCGCTGATGTCAGAGGTGAGTCCCCTTCTTCTCCAGCAGCGAGGACTTAAACCAAGTTCCTGAAGGCGGAGAGGTGGCAGCTTCTAAACCCGACTGTACCTACTCATCTAGGAGACTACGTAAGCCATGGGGTTGATTCTCCCTTTTTGCTCCCAATTTTAATACAGGGTTTGATGTTCTTTACAGCTTGCACCAGCTGCTAAGGGGATAAGGCAAGCGATCACCAAAATCTCACCTGTAGAGGCCTAACCAGTCACCCTTAAGAACACAGGTGAGCTGGGGACCAGCATGCTCGAGGGTCTTCATGAAATCTTCCTGGCGGAAAGGACGAATCTGCGGAGGATTCTGCACAACAGAAAGACCACATTGCACGGCACCCAAAAGAAACCAGGGGGAAGATGAGGCCTGTATTTACGGGGGAAGAGGCTGCACGAGGCAGACTCGAGAACTACAAGGACAGAAAAACGCACAAACATCTTACCCAGACGGGCTAGTAAAATGCAAATTAGATTTGCAGTCGCCGAGCTGACTGCAAAACAGGAAGCATCTGCCCCATGTTTGTTTCAAATTATTTTTTTTTAAAGGAGTAATAACCCTCTTCCTCCAACGAGGGAAGTTCACACACCGTATCAGAGTATGCCATCAGCACGTGGAATAACTATTCCCAACCCCCACAGTCAAAGGAAAGCAGAAGTGACTGGAAAATTGAACATACCTTCCATGGAGTAATGGCCCGCTGCAGGGGCATCAGACTTGCAATATAATGCTCCTAAGAAGAAATTTAAAAATAATAATTAAAAAAAGTTACAACAATCGAGGAGCCTCCTGTGTGGTCACGGAGTGTGATGGTCTTCTCCAGTGGATCACAGGCCCCATCAACAGCCTCCTACTCTGGTTTTCTTCTCCACAGTTGCATTTTACATGAGCCAAAGTGTTCCAGCTTGGTTCCCACCAGAGGCCAGGTCACAAAACTGGGCTGCAAGAATCCTAAGTATGCCATGTGAGAAAAGCTCAGGTGGGAAGAAGTTGGCAGGAAGGACCAGAATCGGAGAAGATGCTCCATCCTCCCAGGTACCACCCCCTAAGATGATGTAAGAAAGAAAGTGGAGGAGCCAAACTTGGCCAGCTGGATGGTTGCCAAAAAAAGCACCAGCAGCTTTCTAGTGGGACCAGACAGGGAAGGCCTTGAAAGAAAGCTAAAACCTGCCCGAGGGTGGTGATCACCACGTGGACAGGCCTCTTAAGCTCTACAGCAAAGCTTCCCAAAGCCAGGAGGGAAGGTTTCACACCAGCAATAGGTTTGATTCCAGCGTTAGAGGGGAAGAGGAATGTTTTGGCTCCCGTCCATTCCCTATATCTCTGCTTTGACTACCTGTTGAAAGGAGCAAAAAGCTGCCATTAGTCAAATAACCTGGAACACCTACCCCTACACGGCAGGAAACAACGCTCTGCCTTAACCCACAGCGCGCTGAATACCCAACCTGCAGACTCCTGTGCTAATACTGAAGTGTGCGTCCAAGGGACGTTCAGTTCCTTTCCATGGAGTAGAAGATCTCTACAGAGTGCCTCATCCTGAACCTACTGCAGATGCTCAGCTACGGGCGAAGAGGAGAGGGCAAGTGCAAACTCGTCACTCGGGCATCTCCACTTCACCTCCCCTCCCCTTTCCGCCACGCTGACAAGTCTCTGCTCAACTCACCAGGGGAATAATGAAACTCTGGGTGAGCTCCAGGAGGTGACGCCTCAGAAGGGCACTCTGGACTTCAGACGGGCGTTTCCGCTGAATCCCCTGCAAGCACAAGCAGCGCGTTCACACAGGTGCTGTTCTCTATTGCGCAGACAGACGCAGAATTTGCAACCACCACAGCTACAGGTCCAGAGCAGTCTGGAAAACTGAACCACCCAGATGCCATACTCTGCTCGCTGGCTCAACGTTCCGCTCACATTCCCTCCACAGAACCTCTTCTTTCAGACTCCTTTTGGATAACAAATGTTCTCACTTAGGTTATCATTAGCGCCAGCATTTAATCCATAATATTAAGCGCAAGGTTTTCAAACCGACATGATAAACACGTCCAGGTATACTTGACTAAATCCTTACACACTGTAAAAACTCTGTTCCTTATGGAGAGCTTCGTCTGTTTAAACCAAGCTGTCGTGGTTTTCCCGTAACGGCGTACAGGCTGCAAGATGGAGTGGGAACTGCTTACCTTTAGTAATCTTTTTATCAGGGTTTTGTCTTTGTGAAGAAATGTTTTATAAGAAGTATAGATTCCTAGATTGGAAAAAAACCAAACCAAAATTAAAAAAACAGAAGTTAAAACCAAGACTTCCCCATGTACGTAGAGGAGGCTCTAGACTATATATTGCAGGGATAATGTTATATCGCAGGGATAATGCTATATCGCAAGGATAATGCTGTATAGCGCGGGGATAACAGAACTTAAAATTCCTAGCACAAACCCTGGCAGCCGCACGTGTGTGTGTATAATTACAAAAATTATTAAAAAATCATTACAAAAATTACAAAATTCCTAATGCAGGCAGCATTCACAGCAGGATTAAAGGACGCTGAACCACCTCAAGGACCTTCCTACGCTAAGCTTACGGTGAGATCACTTAGCAGAATCAGCTCAGGACAGTTAGTTAAGTGACAGCTTTATCCAGGTAAGCAGGTTCCTTTGACTTCCACCGCATCTAAAAAGCGGGTATGATGTATCAAATAAAATCAAGAAAATCAGAAGTTCTCCCGAATCTGAAATAATTTGTTCCATTGGCTTTTTCAATCTCAGAACAGGGACACGTGGTTTTCCTGTATGGGGTGGGGGATGCCACCACAGAGAACCGCGAGGAGATGGTAACACCAAAACGTCCGTTTGTTGATATACAAGGAATAACGCATGCCATGTTCACATGCCTGCAAAATCCCCCACGCGGGAGGGTAAATAAAATCAAACGACGTCTGCCAAGAGGACTTACCTGGCTTCGTGTCTAGGGTTTTTAGTTTAGCTAGCTTTTTCACCTTGACTTGCTTGGGCAGGTCTCCTGTGGAAAGGCATCAGATGACTACTCCAGGCTCTCCATCTACCCTCGCAGCCCCGGCACGCACATGGGAGACTTTGCACTTGAGAACATCCAGTCCTACACTTGTACATCCAAAATCATATCCTCCCTTAACCCCACCCTCACATCAGCCTTCTCATCAGCTAACCTTCCTGCTAAAGTTTCGGAACAGGAACGCGTTAAGGAGGCACCGCAAGAAAAACCCACTCCTCAACCTAGGGGTTTCCTTGGCTTCACAGACAATAACCGGGGTCTCTCTCCCCGCCTCTCCTTCTCTATGCAATAATTTTCTCTGTCCTGCCCAGGAAGGACATCTCCTTTTCTTAATGCATCAGGAAAAAAAACCACAGCAAGTTTTCCCCTCAACGGTTTGTCTTCACCATCGTTTGCGCTCACCCTGCGCATCACCTGAGCCAGAGTCCAGGCTTCCCTCGGCTTTCTCAGCTCCCACAGGAATGGGGATGGGTAAGATGCTGGCTAGCACTGCAACTGTCGGCTCACTACCAGCCTCTGACAAGGTCTACCAGCACATCAGGACGTTGCTTCCAGCCTTACCTGACATTCTGAGCTCCCCGACCCGAAGAATGTGCGGCCAGTGCTGGAGAGTTTTGATAAAGAAAGGGTTTGTGACTCCCACAACAATGTTCGGCCTAGAAAGAGGGGGAAAAAGAAAAGCAGACCAATGCTAACCTCAGGGTTTCCGTCACACAGCCAGTGGCAAGCGGGTAGCAAGGGTCTACTGGCTACTCACGGAGCTTGTGTCCTGGTGGTATACTCTTTAAATTCGCTGTCGTGGATGGTAAAATAGGGGCGGTAGTCACAACAGTACCTCAGAGGAGCAAGGCAGCTGCAACGATAGACAGAACAGTTGCCGTATAAACTTCACGGAGCAGGAACGTGCGTTTACACCAGGTTTATGTCCTAGAGCAGTGTTTTGTCCTGCCAGAGGTAACACTTTGGAGGAGTTCCCAGCTTTTTTTTTTTTTTTCGCTAAAGCAGAGTTCAAAGCTGGGGAGACAAAGTTCCTCAGGGCTATGAGCCATCAGGTCTCCCCACACGGGAGAGTCACTTTTACTCCTCTCTACCATTGGTGGAATAGGAGCAAGACTCTTGCTATGCTATTTGTCCTACGTGCTTTCATAGGCAACCCAAAACTACAAGAAATGACTTGGCAGAAGAGTGGATCTGAAAGAGAAAAACTGCCAGAATTTATTATTGTAGTTACCTGTTTCTCAGAATCTCAGCCCCTAAGATAATTAGGGGGCCGGAGCATCTCCCCTAGGAGGAAAGGCTGAGGGAGCTGGGCTTGTTCAGCCTGGAGAAGAGAAGGCTGAGAGGGGATCTCATCAACACCTACAAATATCTCAAGGGTGGGGGTCACAAGGACGGAGCCAGACTCTTCTCAGTGGTGCTCAGCACCAGGACAAGGGGCAACGGGCACAAACTGAAGCAGAAGAGGTTTCAGTTGAATATGAGGAAGAACTTGTTGACTTTGAGGGTGACTGAGCCCTGGCCCAGGCTGCCCAGGGGGGCTGTGGAGTCTCCTTCTCTGGAGATATTCAACCCCTGCCTGGCCGCTGTCCTGTGCCCCCTGCTCTGGGTGAGCCTGCTTGGGCAGGGGGGTGGCACTGGGTGAGCTCTGGGGGGCCCTGCCAGCCCCCACCAGTCTGGGATTCTGGGATTCTCTGAATTTGAAGGCATTACCTGGTAAGTGCCAGAACCATTTCTGAAGAAACTGTAGGGGATGGTGCCATCACAACAACTGGCTCTCCCAGTAACATCAGCTCCCATAACATCTGGATATGAATTAGCACTGGCTGGAAACATCTGTTAGGAAGGAAGAATGAGGTTAGAAACGCAGTTCAGAGAAGACCAGGCACAGTTATCCCATATAAGCCTATCCAGATGTGCTTCTATCTGGGAATTGGAAATCTAGGATTGGTTTTTAGTATCCCACAACAGAATGCCATGTGTCCTTACACATGCTGTTGCTCAACCATTTCGTACGTGTGTAAAGGAAATGCTTTAAGCAATGCACAGCAACCTGCTGACCACATTGCTCTCAGGACGTCTTTTCATCCAAGCAAGGTAAAACGCACGTGGACTACAGCAGATGCGCGTCTGTCAGAACAGCACCTACAATGCGGAACAGTTTGGTTCAGGCAACGGGCACGCTTCGCGGATCAAGCTGATCACCAGCTGAGGACAAGGGAAGAAACCCTCCTCTAACCCGCACACGGGGGTTTAAACACTGCCCGAGCTCTGCAAGCCCAGTACTCTAAATGACACTCTGCAAAGCAGTCATTTTTGATTCCTCATTTGACATCTTCACTACACCTCTGATTTACAGGATGCTCTGAGCAGGGAGAGGGGAAAGCAGGGATGAGGAGAGGAGTGGGTTACAGGGGTGGTGGCTCTCACCTGAAAAGATCCAGTTCATGAATACTGGGGAGAACCAGTGGAGCTGGTAACAGATTCTAAATGAGGAAGGAAAAAAATCCAAACAAATCCAAAACTGTTAGTAAATGGAAGTGTCCTGACTGAAATGGCAGCTAAACTGACCGCGTCAGTCCCGAAGGAGCTCCCTCTACGATAAGCATAAAGAGAAGAGAAAAAGGTTAACGCTTAGAGATACGAGCCAGAACGGATCTGGATGGAGCATTCAAGGTCCAAATAAATTCCCTTGGCTAGAAGACAGCCAAGAATCCCTTCTTTTCAAGATGTGAAAGACTTCCTGTGTCTGCTCCTTTATTTTCTAGAGTTCCCTCTTGTGCAAGGCAGAGCTTAAGGTACAGAGAGAGACACTAGGGGTTGGTGATACAGGTACCAGAAGTTGTGAAATATGACAACATTATTCCAAGGAGAGAAAAAGGGGAGAAAAAAAAAAATCAAATGAACAAGAATTGAAATAAAAGCTGAACAAAAGCAGTAAAGATGCTCAGCCAGCAAATGCTACAAACCAACACAGACGACTAAGGCAGGGTCTCGGGGAGACCTACCTATGCCTGAGTTCCCAGGAAAGGCAAGGTGAACACAAACTCAGGGAACAACGCATATCTGTAACTTGAAGCACAAAAATTCCGTGCAGGGAGCCCTGTTTTGAAAGACACGGGCATGGCAGCGCGCCGTTCGAACCAGATGGGTAGCTTAAACCACACTCATCCCAGGCCAACGTGGTTTCAAACAGGACAAGGCTGACGGAGTTCCAGTGCTTCTCCACCCTCCTTCCTTAGTAGTCTAGAATCTGCTCATCACTGGCTTGTGTCACGCCATACACACTTCATCTCACCTCTTGGTTGAACTGCTTCACTGGGCTTGATCCTGGCTTATCCACCCTCGATGGGATCCTCACCTAGATCACACGTAAGAACAGACATTACCCAGGGCGATGCAATCGGCGTGCTTTGTCTTCTTCCCTCACAACCACCCACGTGAGAAAGCTCCCTCGAGTACCAGTTCTGATTGTACAGAGGTTAGGGATAAAGGCAACAATCTAGAGTGAACAGCAATTTTAACATCCAGAAGAGAAGGGAACACACGTTCCACTTCCCAGTTTGCCTCAGCCTGCCGCTGAGCGCAGGTCAGCACCAACGAGTACCTGAATGACGACTCCCATCACGGGAAGGTTCAGGGTCTGTCCCGGCACAGGAGGCGGCCACTGATCAATCTCATTGCACACTGCGAGGACACAGGTAAAGAGAAAAGTTTAATCTGCAGGCCGACACAGCTAATTCAGCTGGTCCTTTGAGTTCTGCCAATTTAATTGTCGCTCGTTCCCGGTTCACGTGTCCCCCTGGCTCGCTGCAAACAAACATCAAATAATTGTGCGAGTTTAGGGCAGACACCAGACCTAGGTCTGCAGCACTATTTCCAGTGCAGGCCCAGCAGCGCTGTACTGCCGATAAATCACGATTAGGTTGAACAGTGAATAAAGACCCAGCCAGAGATGCAGCATTAGCAGTTTTTTCCTCTCGCTGGGAATCCAGCGTACACAAAACTGACAGCATCATCTATTAAGGGTGTCAGACTTTGCCCACTAACGCATCCTTTACAGCTGTTTATAATTTTGACAAGCCAACCACTTGGATCAAAGTTTTTCCCTGCTGGAATTTGTTCCGGCATGAACTCATTTGGAACAGTTCAGCTGTCTTCCAGGAACCTCCTGACAAAAAGATTTCAAGATGCAAACCCTCCCTCCCAGGGCTGACGGCTCACCTGCCTCCAGGCACGGCTCCAGCTTGTCAAAGTATTCCGGAGCAATCAGCTGCAGCAATGACTGGAACAGGTTCACATACGGAAGGCGTGACACCAGCACCAAAGACTGAAAGAAGGCAGAGTTAGGAGTCAGAGCCCCCCCGACGTGATCACTTCTAGCACTGCACGTACTTACACTGCTTACTAGAGGGCTACATTTAAAAACCAGCATCAAAACCATAAAAGAGCTCAAAAGCAGCACTTTTACGGGTGGAATCCTTGCTAGCGGCCCGGCTGCGGAACCCTCAGGCTCTGGGAGACCCTGGGCATCCACACAGGCAAGGAGGTTTTTGCCTGATGAATAAGCACAGCCGGCAGCGTCTACCAGGGAGCCTCCGCAGCGAGGAGGGCTGAGGTTGTGACTTAGCAAAAGATCAGCTGGAGGAAAAGCAAACCCAAATTGCCGATAGGTTCAAAGCTCCCAAAACAACCGTTTCAGATGGAGAACTGCAAAGGAGCAGACCAGGGAAACTGAGATTAGGGAGATAAAACAAGTAAAGGAATTCTGGGGAAGAAACAAAGTAACTTGAAATAATGCTGGTTTGTTGGCAGGGATGCCTTAGGTTGTTGTTGTTTTGGCTTCTTTCTAATGCTTCCTTATGAAATCATAGAATCATGGAATGGTTTGGGTGGGAAGGGACCCCCAGAGGTCACCCAGCCCAACCCCCCTGCAGGAGCAGGGACACCTTGAACCACATCAGGTTGCTCACAGCCCCGGCCAACCTGGCCTGGAATGGTCCCAGGGATGGGGCCTCCACCCCCTCTCGGGGCAACCCCTGACAGGGTTTCACCACCCTCACTGCAAAGAATTTCTTCCTTAGATCCAGTCTAACCCTCCCCTGCTTCAGTTTAAAGCCATCCCCCCTTGTCCTGTCCCAGCTGGCCCTACTAAAAAGCTTGTCCCCCCCTTTCCTCTGGGCCCCCTTGAAGCCCTGACCGGCCGCACTCAGCTCTGCCCGCAGCCTTCTCTTCTCCAGGCTGAACACCCCCAACTCTCCCAGCCTGGCCCCATAGCAGAGGGGCTCCAGCCCTCGCAGCATTTTAGTAGCCTCACTATTTTTTACAACTTTTCCAACCCACCCACTGGGGGTTTTCATTACTAGGCTGATTATTCTCTTCCTCTAGTCATTGATGAATACATTAACGAGGGTGCAGTGAAAATTTCTGCAATAGTCATTTAAACACTTCCTTCCCAACCCAAACCTTTGCCATTTGAAATAAAAAAAACTGATCTGAGTGTGACAGTGTACTTCACTGAGGAATCCAATGTGCCCACTACTTTTCTAAGCCTACCAAAGAGCAAGCACATTAGCCTGGTATAAATAGGTATATTTAGGTATACCTATAGCCTGGTGTAAATATATGTACAGCAGGTCCCTGCCCTGCCCAGTTTCTCTAATGCTCCAACTTTTTGAGTGATCAATGCCCTGGTTTAGCAGAGATGAAGAAACTCATGCCTGCATTAGCATGTCTCCTTGAAAGAAACTCCCTCTCACTGCCTGGCAGTGGAAGAGGAGAAAGCGCAGCAGGCTGAGTGACTGCTGGGGCAGAATGGTGTCCCCATCTTCCAGCGCGTTACCAGCCCGACCTACTGGGAAGTGCTGCTCTTGGCAGAGCAGGTATTCAAAGTCCATTTCATAGAATCACAGAATCGTCTAGGTTGGCAAAGCCCTTGAAGCTCCCCCAGCCCAAGCGTTCCCCTACCCCTGCCATCCCACCCCCAAACCCTGGCCCTCAGCACCGCCTCTGCCCGGCTGTTAAAT